TTTGAAACACCTCCCAACAGACAATTGGTTCTCTTCAGTTTTCATGCCAAGTGCACATCACACAAAATCTCAGAAATCTGAGAGGTAGTGTTGTTTGTGGGACAGTTTGCAGCAGGGCCAGGAGTACTACTAGCTGATTTCATTAGCATGGCAGCACTTCAACCGTGTCCACCACTCACATCCATCATTCTTCCAATCTAATTCCAGGTTTAAGTGTACACATCGCATTTCCTGTGCTAAACATGTTGAACAAAAACTTTGCAGCATAACTGTTGTACACAGAACTAGAAGAGGGGGGGGGGGGGGGGGTCAAAGGAAAATATCTACTTACATAAGTAGAGTCAAAGTCGCTGCCAAAAGGGTGGCTCCTAACTGCAACAAAAACACAGAAAGTGGTAGAGTCAGGACAGAAACAACAGCATGCTCGTTAAAACTGCACGGTAAACCAAACAGAGCAAAAAGCACAAGCTGGATTAGTGGGAAGGAAAACTTTTACAATCAGATGGCATGTTTGGAGACTTGAAATGTGAGCGAGGTTCAGACATCACTTCACACGTGAGTCAGTGTCTGTACACGAAGCTCAACCCTCGAGGCCTCACCACATCAGCCAGGCACTTTGAGTCTGAGCAGAATTATACTGTACACATTATAATACTGGAAAGAAAACCCACAGCTGGCTGTTTATTCACTGTGCAAATGGGAAGCCATGATATTTCAAGTATGGTGACAGAAAATGAACAGTATTATTATTGGTTTTACACTAATGTGAGCACTGCATCCATGTGCAGCAGTGTAGAAGTAATCTGAGTGTCATGTGTGAAATGCACTGTTCTAACCGCTGAAAGTCAAAGTAATGTTCAAGGTTGTAAACTGGAGTGTTATCATTTTGCTTCTCCTCCAACTCAACAACACTGCAATTTGTGTCACATTGGGAGGAAATATTCACTGAGTTTGTTTCATCCAGGGTTGGGGATTCAGTGAATCCAGTTCTAAATGTGCTGTAGACCGGCGGAATCATGGAAAGCTGCAACACATCACCTGTCAGAATTGGAAATGATCAAATTTGCCTGCATTATAGTGGTTGACTAATAATATCATTCCCTTTCCCGTGTTATTGTTGATACCAGTTTGGATTAAAGAGCCTGAGGTCTGCACAGTGAGCAGACCCTTGGGAAGTGTGGCGTGTGTGATAAGTGTGATGGTGCAGGGAAGCGTGGACATTTGGATTCATCCAAACATCAAGGTGGACATGCTCGGCCAATGTCTGGAGACAACTAAGACGAAATGTGCTTGATTAGAAATGCATCAGATCGATCTAGAAGCCGTTAGGGTCAGGACTGGATCGACACTTTCTTGAAATTGGTGGATTATGTTTGTCTCGCAGAACCCTGGCCATCACAAAGCACATGCTTGGGACTGCACCTACAGGAGGGACAGACTGAAGACAGGATCTGTGCTCATGGTTTGCACTTGTTGACAACATATTGTCAGGCCTCTGCTTAGTTGAAGTAGTGAAAGCTCATAGCTGCACTGGATGATCTGTTCCTTTCCTTTAACATGCATGATAGTTGCTAACAAATGTTTTCCTTTTAACATCGGTGCAGAAGAAAACTGGTCCTTGTTGTTAATCGCTATAGTTTGTACAAAGGGCAGGGTAGTTTTTGCAGATGTGACAGTCCACAGCAGCTCTGTTTACATGAGGAACATCACTCTTCTGAAGCCTGAAACAAACACACAAACCCAACAACCAGGCCACATAGGGATGGAGACACCTTTCTCACCTAAACCAGTGCTCTGTGTTTTACACGTCAAGGTGATGGACGATGGAAAATGTTAAATGACACATCTAATCGGACACTTACTGACTCCATCCGCCTCAGGGGCTCCAGAGCCCCTCATCCTCAGGTACATGAGGCCCAGCAGCAGAAAGAAGAGGCAGGCTGCTGTGAGCAGGAACATGGACAGGTAGTGGGCGCTGAAGCTGCCGGGGGAGGCCACCTCTTCCCTTTTGAACTGCTGGAGCAGCTCGTCCTCCGGCACAGACAGCTTCTGCTTCAGCGCTGCCTGGCTGTACGAGTGGTTGGGGGCGGTGTGGTTGGAGTGGTTGCCCCTGTAAGGCTGGGACAGGCTGCTGTAGTTGGTGAAGCGCGGTCTCAAGCCGATGCTGAACCTGTTGGAGCCGCCGCCGCTTCTGGAGGATCCGTCCCCGCTGTCGACGTGGTTGTTTTTGCCGGCGTCTCGTACATGGTTCTCGGCGAGGGACACGTAGATGGACTTCCTGGGAAAGTTGTGGCTCCGCGAGCCTCCCGGTGGGTCCGAGTCCCTTCTCTTCAGCTCGTCTTCCTCCCCCTCCTCCCTCCGACTTCCCACCATGTTTAGACTCCCGGGCGGGTTAACCTCTCTGGCGGCCCCTCCCGTCTGGGACCCTCGGGCGAACGCCGCTTTCGAGTGGCTCCGCCGAGCCTCCAGTCTATCCCGCCGTCGGTCTTCGGCGCCAAGGGCCCCGACCTCCTCCTCGTCCGAGTCTGAGTAATCCCCGGCTAACTTGCTAGTGACCGAGTGAGGCGCCCCGCAACCATTTAAAGAGCGAGAGTTCTTCTCCGTCCCCCCCTCATAATCGTCCTCGTCTCCCGATTCGTCGTAATCCCTCCCTTCCGCCTCAGGGCTGGATCTTGCCCGAACCCCCCAGCCCAACGAGACACCTCTCTGTCCGTCCGGACCCGGGGAAGAGCCGCTGCTATTCAGCGCACTCCCAGCGCCATACTGACTCTTGGTCGCCCCGGTCGGCGTCGCGGCAGGCCTTATCTTCGGCTGCTGCTGGAACGCGGGGCTCCGGTCCGCCCTGCCGCTGTGATTGAGGCCCTTTCTCCTCAGTGGAGTTTCGGCGTCAGACTCGTCGGAGCTGAAGCCGAGGACGGCGGACTTCCGGCCCGGTCTCCTGTTGGAGCTCAGGTGCGTGACGTCATGGCTGGCTGGCCTGAATCCCGCCGTGTTGCCGCCGCCAGTGCTGCTGTTGACGGCCGCGATGCTGCGCGTCTTCCCGGCCCGGGAGCCCCGCTGCTGCTGCTCTTCGCGGAGCTTCTTCAGTTTCTTCAGATACACCGGGCGGGTGTTCTCGGTGACCGGGCCCGGCGTGAAACCAAAGCGCTTCAGTTCGGAGAAAAGCTCCTCATCCGTTAACTGCACTGACGCCATCTTAGACAAAACTCTGAGAGAAGGTTGTGTGGCGGAAGTGACGTAGAGGTGAAGTGGCAGCCGACCAACTGTGCTGCGTTCAAGGCCCAGCTTCCACAGCAACAATGAGATGTTTACTGACCGTCATAATTCTCACACATGCTGAGGAGGAATTTATCACTGTTTCATTCAGAGAAAAACACAAAGTTATAACTCGTTGTGGGATTTATGGTTAATCCTAACCCACAACAAGGTTCACAAAAGTCTGAATTACTGTCTTTGTAAATACATGAAATAGAAAAACTATATCTATTTTATATATTTTATTTTTATTTGTATATTGGAATTCAGATCCAGTGGCAGAAAACATGGCCATAAACACATATTACAACATATATATTAAAAACATTTGCTTATCTTTCTATGGGTTATTCTCTCTATTCTTATATTGCTTGAGTATTGATAAGGATTAGGATCTTATAAGCAAAAGGAAATTTAATCACTACAGAATAATACATGTTTGAGTTTGAGAAGTCAATTTCCAAAAGTTTTTTTTTTTGCAAATATATTTTAGTTCAGAGATAAAACTTCAAAATCTATATTCCCAGTTGCTCAAATTTAATCAAAAGCATCAAGATTGAAAAAAAGTTTGCAATTTGAATTGAACCTCCTGATAGATGCGTTTTGGAGACCATAGGCTGATATATCTCAAATATCTCCTGTGCCACAGATCAGCTCTCCTGATGCTTAAATCCGTTTTCTATATCAAGCTGTGGTTTGAATATCAGCTGAGGACAACTGCTTCACTGTTGTTGTTTTTCACAGATGGCTCCTGTTGAGCATAACTTCCACCAAGTCCCATTCAGTGCACGACGAGGAAGACCTCTCTTGGTTTGTGATCACCAACATTACATCAGAATTGCAATAATGGCATGTGCATGTTCAGTCGTAATGAAGTACAAAAAAAATGGATACAAATGATTGACAGAATATAACAGTGACAGGATTTTTTCTGCTCAGTGCTTACCCCACCAGTGTGTACTACATAAGTTACAACTATCTGATCATGTTTGATGAGGAGGTAGAAATACTGGAGGAGTGTTGATGTTATCGTGAAAAGCAACTCTCAAGAAAAAATCCATAAGACCCGGTTCTCCTCGAATAAGCCAAGGTGCTGTGTGTAACATGTCCCCTTACGAGCCGAGCTACAAGCCCTCGTGCAGAGAATCATGAAAGAAATGTTGCTCCGCTTTACCAAAAGAGGATCAGATATTCTGGCAGCAAAGCAAATGTCTACCCACAACTGTTCTAGATGTGTGCATCTGCTCCCCCACAGGCATTCAATAAAAGACCTAGGTCTGTGAGAGATATGAAATACTTAGAAAGCTGCAAAATTCCTCAATCTGTAACTTGGAGAGGTGCATTAAGGTCTGGAAGGACAACCTGTGTCTGAATGAATATCCATTTTTAGCTTTTAATCTGATGCTCAGTGTGGAGTCATTGATTCCATTCATTTCAAAATAAATCACCTTCAGTTGGTGTGATGTCGAGGAACATTTTAAGGACCAAAACACGGTTTCAATTGCACTAATCTCATTTTTTTTTTAAACCGCTTTACAGATGAGTTTTTAAGATCATTGGCAACGTGTTGATTTAGAAAACAGCTTCCATCATTATTGTCACTGACATGTACCATGCATGGTCAGGCAGTACTGCAGCTTTAAAGAGAAAAACATAGCATCTCGTCTTTTTAAATTAAACCTGAAGCAAATGCTGTCCTAGCATTCACCCATCTCTTGCTGCTGGAGATTGATACAATCAGAGGATGGAATCAAATAATATTTATTAAAAATATTCAGATTCAATTCTTCATCAACTTCAATGCTTAACAATCAGAGTTTGGTTCCCCAGGGTTACATTTACACCATAAAAATACAGTATGTACAATCACAGGAATCAAAAAACCCAGACATGCACCCAACCTTCATGGAAACCAACACGTGTCATCTACTTCTTATATTTTACAACATTAACATATACAAGGGTGCATTGGTGCAATATTAACAAGATATTTATGACATGGAAAACATTCAACAATAACTGTAATTTTAGAATATATTAGTAATACTCCCTCTGAGATGTACATAACAATATATAAGAAAAAGGCCGACAAAACAAGGTAAGCAGCCATTTGGCCAGCTGGGGGCGCAAGTGGGCTCTACAATGAAGAACCTTTTTAAGTTGGTGAGCAGTCTCATAACATGAGTAAATTGTGGTTTCAATTTGATAAGGACACCAGCAACCACAAATAAAAAGAAGCAAGTCCTACAGCCACCTGGAAAGAGTTCACCAAGCACAGAGTTTTATTTTATTTAAGAAGATTCCTCCTGAAAATTCTCACCTCTGATTAACGTCAGGGCAGCAAAACTCACACTAACACAAGACAATCACAGAGCGGGCGAATCTGTGGCTTTCCAGTGAGGCTGAATATGGAGTCGGCAGCTGAATAAAGCTCTTAGTGCTTCTTCATGGAGTCGAGGAGACGCAGGATGTGCAGGAAGAGGTTGACGATGTCCAGGTAGAGGTTGATGGAGGCCAGGATGTGCTCCTCAGGGGAGAGCTGCTTCATTAGCAGGAATGTGTCATAGATGATGAAGCCGCAGAAGACCAGAGCCCCGGCGCCGGACATTACCAGCTCTGTGCTGTCACTGTTGAAGAAGAACTGCAGAGACGACAGAGTCAGCGTGGAGAGGGTGAGGACTGCATCTTAGGCTAGATCCATACTACAAAGGATTCCTTTGAAAACACATCACCTCTGCTACAGATACGCTGTGAGCCCTGTTTTGGTTTGAAACCTCTGTGGCTGTGTTTTAGTCTGGATAGGCAGAAACTGAGCTGTAACTATGACATAAACACACGCAACCGTTTGCTGATTGGGTCTTTTCAGAACAGCCTTCACGGATTCATCAGGCTCCTACCAAATGACACCCTTCCGGAAGAAAACCATCAGCGTTGCTGACTCTGTCTTTGCTAACAGCTGTTGTGCAGTTAAATTCTACATTTTACAATGACACAACTTTTGACACATGTAGGAGACAAGTTATTATTCGAGCACTTCTTGTTTACATTGAGACGCGTATGCCCAGTGTGTGTGTGTGTGTGTGTGTGTGTGTGTGTGTGCAGTCAAGTGATATGCGTCTTGAAGCATGTTCGTATGGGCAGGGATTAAAACTGATACAGAGTCAAAATGCTTGAGTGGACAGAGATAGTTTTAGTTTGAAAATTGTTGAAAATGTACTGAGATGTGCATCTCATCGGCCTCAGTGATGAAGATGCACATCTTTACCTCTTCCTGTCTTTCACTCTATTTCTCCCCTTTTATTTCTGTCATGTGAAACAGACATAATCATGTCAGGAACTTCCACTCACCTTCATGAAGCCTGCAATGAGGAGGATCCACAGGCAGGCAAACAGGCTGTAAGGTCAGAACAGACAGGATAGTGTTAGTCTGAGGATGTTCACCCACTAGAGGAACATTGATATTAGAAAAAAAAACACTGTGCAACCACTTGTAAAAGGAGCCATGACGCACGCACCCAACTCCCATTTTGCTGAAGTCTCTCTTGGACTGGAAGGTGTAGACTGTCAGTCCAGCAAACACAGCACAGGTCAGGAACAAGGCTTGCAGCACAGTGGAGTATTCATAGAAGGTCACTATGGAGAGGAAACTGCCGTTAGGATGGTCTGCCAACAGGCTCAGAGGATGGAAACTAACAAAATACCTGAAAAAAGTACTTACCGGCTGTGGCCACAGAAACCGCCTCCAGCAGGGTCTGCGAACAACACACAATTAATGGCACTTATAGTCTGGAGGCAAACTAAGAGTTTTTATTAAATAACCAGTTATTTAATAACCAGTGTCTGTACTCAGATCAGTATTCAGAATACTGGAAACCAAAAAAGAAAAGGCTTACAAATACAAGCAGCAGGTAGAGGTTGACTGGATGTTTGTGCCTGTACACGGCCAGGGCCAGCAGGAGAACCAGAGAGCCCAGGGCCGAAACCAAAACCACGGCAGGACTGAGGAAGGAATCACACCAGAGTCAGATAACAACTGCTGTTATGGACACAGAGTGACAGGTCCACAGAGTTAAAGAAAATCAGTCCTTTGCATCTCGGTTAGACAAAATACTCCCTCACCTGGCGTGCACGAAATCCTTGATGGTTTGAGAAAACATGAACAGAGCGGAGGTGGCCGTGGTCAGAATGATCTGCAAGCTCAGGAGGCTGTACACCTTCCTCAGGAAGTCTGATCAATGAAGACAGCAGTGGAGACCCAGCGTTACAACACCTTACACTTATATTTGAACCAGAGATATACAGAGAATATTTAGACTCCTAAACTGCTGACAGGAGTCTATAACCTACCTCACAAACTGTAACACTGTTCTTCACTTTAACATAAAGTGTTCCATTCGTACTGTTTATATTGTATACATTTTATTTAATTTTTCACTGTTAATGTTCAATTTGCACTGCTCAGTTTTGCACAATCCTCACCTCATTCACCTCATTCGCTTTGTCTCTGCCTTACTTTTAAACATGTTCATACGTTTTTGTATTTTATGTGAATATTGTATTTTAATATAAATTTTGGTCGGCTGGTATTCCAGAAAGGACAGCACAAGAATTTCAATTCACAGGGAAACATGTGTTCTCGTGTGTATTTGACAACAAAAATCTTTCAATCTTTGAGAATAGCCTTCATCTACCCAGGAAAACCAGCACTTCAAAATGTATTTTGATGTGTGTGTCTGCATGAATATGTTTAAGTTCTAAGTAAACGGTTGTGTTGAGTCTGCACCAGTATAACCAGCTTGTCCTGTGCGAATTTAAAGCAAACAACAGGCACAGCTTTAACACAGTACGTCACAAAAACAAACAGGAAACAATATATAAACACTGACAACGATGAGAATGTCGTGGTTCAACCATCAGTGTATCCAGCGAACAATGCTCAGTCTGCGTTAGCTTACGTGGTTGTTGACGCTATAACAACAATACAGTGGAATTCATATTCAGTATTCATCATGCAGTATTTGTATACGTTGTTAAGTTATCCTGGTCTCCATCCTTTTACATTCATAAACCCTGTAACTCATCAGTGACGCCACTGATGTCATCATTGTCTCTTGATTTCTCTTGAACTTTGACCTCTTTACATACAGCCTATGGTTTTGACATGCTCCCTGTGTCTTTGTATTGCCTACCCGGGGTACAAATAAAGTTGTTTTTGAATTTTAAGCCCCGTAAACGTTAGCCTTGACTAGCTTAGCCTCGGCTATCGCGACACGGTGCTGTCAACACTACGAACCTACGCAGTTCTCCACTCACCCATTCGTATCTGGACACTGGCTGTGGCGACGTTGGTGCCATAGTTGAAGTCGTCTTCGATAGAAGACCTGGGGTATTTCTCGGTACTCATCGTGTCGCTGCTGTGTTTTCTGACGCTCAGCTGGGACTGCGGACTCAACAGGACCCGGAAGCGCTGTGTTTCTTTTTCAATAACCTTTATTGAAGCTTTATGGTCGCTAAACTGATGACGCGACCCTCCCCCGCCTCTGATTGGGTGAGGTTTAGGCAAGGAGAGCAATGATTGGTCAGATTGATATAATATAGATAGATGGATAGATAGATGGATGGATGGATGGATGGATGGATAGACTGATAGATAGATAGATAGATAGATAGATAGATAGATAGATAGATAGATACTTTATTGATCTCGAAGGAAATTCAAGAATCCAGTGGCAGTAACATACATTGAACATACATTAGACTTATGCATTAGAGTTAACTTATAACACAGTGACCATGAGTAGAAATTGGCCTGAGATGAATGTAAATTTAAATGTGTACAGAGGAATTAAGGAATTAAATTAAATTAAATTAGACAATTGAAGCAAAATTAAACTTTTACAGAGAAATTKAACATTTGCATAGGATTTCATTATATACAGAGGAATTAAAAATGTGCATAGAAAATAAATATAGAACTGTGTTAAGTTAACCCATGCTAATTGTCTATACAAAAACTATATAACAACTAGAACGTAACTATAGAAATAAATAATATATATAAAATAATATATAATATAACTAAGAATTATATTATATAAGAATAACAACTTTTGTTGGTGAAGTTACAACTGTACATATGAGATGTTGCACTACAGCAGATGAAGGTGAACTTGTATCATTATCAGCCAAATTCTTATGATAATCAAAAGATTAGTATCATGAGATCAACCAAAACTAAAGGCAATTCAATGAACTCAGCACTTCAGGTCATGCAAAAAAAGTTTCTGCTGTGATTAACTAGCTGAAACACCTCCCTGTCTTTTAATATAGAGACAAAACGAAAAAAAAGGAGATTCAGGAAGAAAATAAGAAAGAAAGAACATAATACATTCACATCATCCTTGAGTAAGTTACAGGATGCAGTTTATGGATAATAAGCATAATAAAAAAAACAGATTCGCCATGATTGTCAGGAAGGTGACTCAGGGACATGTGAATAAGATTACGGAACACCCACAGAGCACCAAGTCAAATATCACGTTGCTCTATACAATATTCCTGAAGAGAAAAAAAGCGCGTATCATGATAATTGAGCTTGTTTATGAAAGTTTGAATCATTTTTTAAAAGGTGCCCTTTCTTTAAAGAAAAGGTTCAAGGAAAGGTAGGAAGAATTTCATCTTTGAGTTTTAGATCAACTACATCATAGCTTAATCAGGAGGTATGTATGTACAGAAGACAAAGCAGGGAATGAGGGTCCACATCCATAATACGATGCTGGGAGTCTGTTGGGCTATAGTGTAAGAGTTAATGCAAGAATTACATGTGAAAGAGAAACATAAAACAGGTCTATTGTCTTTTTGATTTGGTGGAATTCCCCGAAGCAGTCTGGATTTACTTTCGATTTCTTTTTTCACCATCTCTGCTGTGATAGCAGCAGCACCATCGACTGGCTATAGTGGGGCACTGAATCCTGCAGCTGCCCAAACTCAAGAGGCCAAATTTTAGAATTCTAAATCCTTCCATCGAGACCCCATTTAAAATGTTCAGATAAAGTCCTGACGTGTGTTTTGCTTGACAGATAATGCTGTCTCTACCGTTGCGCCATTTTCTAATCGCTGGACAATCAAATCAATCGAAACTTTATTTCTGTTTCACTTTTAAAACTAAGATTAACAAGTTCAGACGCCTATGCACTCATACATTGTAAAAGATTTTTAAGTGGTAAAACGGCATAATGTTAATAAAACAAGAAAGAAAGAGATAATAAGAAGAAAAAGATTATAAAAGAATATTAAAAAGAATAACCATAACCAAATTGTACAAATTATAAAACACTACATGGAAGGCCAGCTGAAAAGATAGGTATTTAGTTTACGTTTAAAAATATCTACAGTTTCAGCTCCTCTCAGATCCTCTGGAGAGTAGTTCCATCGTCCAGGAGCGTAATGATCACCACATGTAACTAAAGAGAGCCCTCTCCCTGTGTGGGATCAGGTTCAGTTCTATTTGTTTTTATTTGCTTATATGGGACAAAAGGCAGCTGTAGTCTGGAGAGCAGCTTCAGTGTCTGACTATACATCCTCCACAAACAGGAGGAAGAAACCCATGGGTGCTCATTTTAGTCCAGATAAGGCGACTGCAAGGAAGTGTTATTGTTTTCATCTTCAACGAACCATTCGCTGAGCACATGTACAATGACTCTAATAATAATTGAAACTTTATTGATCCCTCAAAAATGGGAAATTCTTTTTACACTCATTTTTCTTTTTTATACATGCAGTTTAACCCACAATTCCACACACACACACACACAGAGGGCTCAAAGACATGCACAGTTTAGAGAGATGGTAGAGTGATGAAGTAATACTGAAGAAATACAGATAATAATGTATAAAAAATAATGAAAAATAATGAAAATCTCTAAAGTGAATCATTAAACTCTGCTCTTCCTGATCATGGTGTCTAAAGGTCAGTGTAGACATAGATTTTTATTTTTCTGCATGCTCATGGAGGAGGTGGAGTAAATACTCTCAGTCCCGTCTTGTCCACACTGGACCAAACCTGGTTGATGCTATTCTACCTAGTAACTGCGATGGAAATTAATAATTGGTTGGTGGAGTGTGGTGGGCAGTCTCAACCAGGGCATATGGCATTACTCAGCCAGTCGGTTTCGCCTCATTCTAGCTTTTTCCTTGCGAAGTGGCGCTTCTTCTCCGGGCATCAGCAAAACAAAGACCTGATCAAGCATGAAGATCGTTCTGTGCCTGGCAGCTCTGACTGCCTTGTACTGCTGCGTGAACGCAAATTACAGTAAGTACCAGTTTTAATCTGTATCTTCTGTAACTTCCACTTTGTCAATTTACTGGAGAATCCCAGAAACCCTATCTGGAGTCAAACAGCCTTTGTGATGGTAAACTACATAACAGATAAATCTATGTATTATCATATTATATGTTACTATTATTATCATATAATATGTTACTTTTATTATCATATTATGTCATATTTACCAGGTAGTTTGTGTTTGACAGTAAATGTCTGAAAACAAGACAGACAATAATAATGTGGGCATCTGTAAAAAGATGCTCAGTCACTCGGAGGTGAATGTAAGAGTTGATTTTTGTGGTAAAATAAGACAGAAAGACCTTTTAAACCATGTTTTTTAGAGGGTGGGATTCCCATTTTCAATTTGCATTTACTTTCGATTTACAGTAAAATCTTAAACAGCGCCCTCAAGTGGCACACACATAGGAAAGCAGGGGGCGTATTTCTTAAGTTTAGATCCTTGTTTCACCACATCAAATCAAACCGGATGGAGGACACAACAACAGCCTGCTCTCCCTTTGGTCGGAGATACAAGACTTACAAGACTGAGAAATAGCTTTTTCCTGTGCAATTCAGCAATCTGTCTAGTGTTCAGCCATGTACTATTACTCCATATTTATTTATCTAATTGTAAATAAATGTTTTATTCTACTTTATATTATCATAATCATTTATCGCCCAACCCTCTCTGGAAATGTTTCCCGCCTGTATAACCGGTCTGACCATAAACATGGAGGGTGGGACTTCATTCTTCCGAAAGATATTTCCTCATTTGAAGCGTGATGGTGGAGAAATAAAATAGGATGTTTTGTGGTAGTTGACCTTAATATCCTTCTCGTTGCCTTCAGTTTCACCCAAGGTACAGGTGTACAGCAGGATGAAGGGACAGTTTGGAGAGGGCAACACTCTGATCTGCAATGTTAAGGACTTCCACCCTCCTGACATCACCGTTGAGCTACTGAAGGACGGAGAGATACTCCCTCGTGTCATGCAGACAGACCTGGCCTTCAAACCGAGCTGGCAATTCCATCTGACTTATTTCGTGCCCTTCACTCCCGCTGCTGACCATAAGTACAGCTGCAGGGTGACTCACGGCTCCACCGTTAAAAACTATGCCTGGGGTGAGTTAGGGTCGGCCGACCTGTGTGTGGAACAGTCTTGTTACCAATCAGCATGTGATACAGCCAAAATGCAGCATTTGGAAGAGATAAATGATTACAATAACTGTAAGAGAGCCCACATTTACCGGGGCTGAAATGTGTTTGAAAAAATAATGTAAGAAAATGCGTCTTCATGCATGTTAAGTAGATCTTCATGGAAGATATGGCCTAATGCAGATAAAATATAAGAAAGAAAGAAAATACATATGCAAGAAAGAAAGATAGAGAGATAGTTGTCTTCATGCAGGTAAAGTATAAAGAATGTAAGAAATAAATAAAATATGTCAATGAATAGCAGAATCCTCAGTGATAAATAGTTATAGATGTGTCCAGTAATTGGCATCAATAATCTAAATGTGAAAATAAAATCCAATGCGACTGTTGTAAATAATAATAATGTAAGTGTTGGCTATGGGATGGTTATAAACCTTTATATATATATTTTTTTTTATTGTTTTACAGAGCCAAACATGTAATGCCCAGCTTGGTCAGTTGAGGCTTCTCCACCAGCAGGAATGTCACACTTAATCGCCGCAGCAGGATTGCTGGATGTATCCGTCTCCTTCCCGACGCCGTGCTGTGATGTTTCTCCTCGTGGAGGAGCCCTTTCGAGGTGATTCAGCTCCAGCTACAGTGACGATTATTCTTCATAACTTCAGTCAAAAGGATCATAGACAAGCTTTTCTTGCTTTTCATTTTTTCACCAAACCAAACTACAATATCACATTAAAGGGGAACTATTGGGGTTAAGTGAGAATTTTACTATAGAAGAATGAACAGGGCTGTAGGTATTTTATTCCTTTGTAATTTACCAACTTGTTTTCCATCTTTTGATCATGACACTTGCCTGTATATATTTTGAGGGTGTAAGGAGATGTTTTGCTATTGAGCCTATTGGCTAACATATAAATTTGTTGGTGACTTGAGCTGTTTTCCTTCCTAAAATAAATTAATAAAGATAGATCTTAAATTTGATTTTTTTAAAGTAAACTGCTCAGAAAAATTATAGATTCATGGGTTCTTTCTGGGACCGATAGTATGTAAGTGTTCTCCTTTGTCAAATAAAACATTTGTTTAATCTGACGAAATAAAAAATTCCTGAAAATGTATCTCCGTCTTCACTTTTTAGATACAAACCTCTATAATTTATACTTTTATTAGACAAATATATGTCATTATGTAAAATTACATGTGCATGTCATGTCTTCACTGGGCAGTCTAATACTGATTGCAAAGTTGTTTCATGTATTTATAATTCATATGAATAATTGATGAAGGCTACTATTCTAGTGCATTTGGAATTGCTCTTAGAGTTAAACATTATCAATTTAAAAAAATAAACAGGATACCAGGTGATGGCAACAACAATGTTAGATATATTTGACATTTTCCATTGGGAGAGAACTTAATGAATAATATGACTAATAAAAGGATGTTGATTTTGTTATTACATCTATCTGGTGTTACTTTTCTTTCCTAAGGACAACGGTTCGTGCAGTATCTGTGTTTGTGTGTGTCACGACTAATATGACACCTAACAACACAGCCACGAAAACAATGGACTGTCCGGCCTTGACTACACAGGGAGCTCAAGTAAACATGGAGACAACTTCAATGGTTACACATTTTCTGATTAAAAAAATGCAATCACACATTTTTAAGGATGACTTTCACTTCTATTAGCTTCCCTTCGCTCTTCAAATATAGATATCAGCAATATCCTCCTAATTACTGATTAAAATGTAACCTTTATGTAAATATTGTACTTTTGTAGTTCCAACACTGACGCAATAGAACATCACACGACTTTTAGATTGTGTCATTATTATTGGTCTGAATTTGAGTAAAAACAAGATAAAGACAACTTTTTTCTTTAAAATTATTCCAAGTGTACAAAGATACTTTTCAAAGCAAATGTGACATTAAGCAGTAAAAGACATTAGACAAACATTATTTCACAAATACAAAACGGAAGGGGTGGTGGGGGGGGGGGGAAGGTGAAATGGAATAAGTTAAAAGGATGAGTGAGAAAACAGAAATTCATGAGGTACATTCTAACAACCAATCCACGCATGTTCCCATGCCAACACAGAGAAGCTGTTAAATTAAGGAAATAACAGACATAAATATAAATAAGTAACAACAACAGACAAGCCGATGAAAGTGCGCAACAGACAGCAACATGTCGGATCGACTTCTACCTAGTTACAAGGTACGCGTGTTTTTTCTATTGGTGGATGACTGGGAGAGTGATCGTGGAGTTCAAAGTGGGCGGGGTCACAGCAACGGATATCGGCGATTGGTTGCGCGCTGCCGCCCCTAGTTTCCTGCTTTGCATCTTATCTCCGCCTCCACATACAGGGAAACATTTTACTTTCGTTTTGATTTCGGGGAAACGTATTAACATCTGAAGTATCCGAATAAAGATACATCACCGTGTCTTGTGCCGGAGAAACCATGGGGCTGTTAATCTGTTCGCTTCTGTTGGGTCTGCTGTGCTGTTCCATGGCCAAGGATAGTAAGTACCTCGACTTCAAGCCTTCGTGTTAACGGAACAATGTGCGATCACGTAGGGTAAAATGGCAGAAAGGTCTGGGACACTTTCCAACTCCTGTCAACCATCGTGTCATGATATGAAGACAACTCCTGGAGGAAAGTTAAATATGAAGTGTTAACATCGTGTCTCAGATGAGAAAACCTGTTTATGATTAAGTTTCAGTGTGTAAGATTTAAGTGAAGGGGATCTATTGGTAAAACTTGAATATGAAATAATCCCAGCGATGTTTTCATGAGTGCGTTTCATCTGAAGTGTATGGATTGTTTTCTTTACCTTACATTTAAATTCCTTATATTTACTTGGGCTACACGATATTAGGGAAACTTGTGATAAAGTTGTATAATATCGCGATGAAGATATGAATCTGTTGTTTTTATACCCGGGCACACTTTGGTGTGTGTGTGTGAGAGAGAGATAGGGACCGAATAGATCGTGGGAGTGGCTACTGAATGCACTTCTCTGAAGGAAGACTTGAACCACAGTAGACTTTAGTCAGCAGGAGGTGGGGGAAGATTTGACGGAGGCCAAAAAATGTTTCGGTTTTGTTAAAGCTTCAGTTCAGAGAGACCTGTAGAGAATTTCTTCAAATGTTATATACATGTCCAGTTAGACTCAATAATGACCTGATCAGAGTTTTGGTAATTAAAGATCAGAGGTCAAGGTTACTGCATGCTCACAAAAACATTTTTTTTGTTTTTTTGAAAGTAACAGCTACGAATTTCTTCAAATTCACAAATGTTCACTTGGAAGAACTGATTCGATTTTGGTGTTTTCCTCTGCTGCATATCTACGTTTGCATTTGATTTCCAAGTTTATAAACTACAATAATGTTCTTTTGTTTTGGTTAGTTCCCCTCCTGTGTAGATAACATCTTGCTTTAGCAATCAAACAGTTGAAACCACTGCACACAAATATTTTTTCGAATTAATCTGAGTGGTACAGCCACAAATTTAAATTACAAAAGGTGGAATGTGGATATTCTGGATTCAGGTCCGGTTGATTACGTTGGCAAGGCTATCTCCTTTCTTTTTTTTTTTTACACTGCACATGTCTGTAATCAGCACAAACATCTGGCTTGAATTCAACCAATTGACTTGACAGAAACAAAAGTGAAGAAAACAAGAAGTAAACAAACATCTCTTTGTGACGAAGAGGTAAAGAGAGTTTGTGGTGTTGTAAAGAAAATCCCATGATTTCCACAGGGGAGTTGATAGGTCACTTCCTGTGTCTGTTTACTGCACCTGGCCTGGCATGTCCGTTGTGCATGTGTGAAAGGCAGACTCTTGGTAAACTCTGTAGCCAGTTCTCCAGATTTTATCCACAGGTTATGTCTGAAAACTGCTTATGAGCCAAATCTACATACGTTTGTTTTTTTTTACCATTTCTTCTGGCTGTTTTCCTAAAGTGAGTGATGGCTTTTCCTTTTTCGGTAGCTCCTCCCAAGGTTGAGGTGTACACCCGTGAGCCAGAAGAGTTTGGGAAACCAAACTCCTTTATCTGTCACGTGTCTGGCTTCTACCCGCCGCAGATCAACATTACGCTGCTAAAGGATGGAAAGGAGATTCCAAATACCCAACAGACAGACCTGGCTTTCGAGGCGAATTGGTACTACTACCTTACCAAACATGTGTCCTTCACCCCAAAGGAGGATGATGAGTTCATTTGCAGAGTGACACACATGGGGAAGTCCAGGGATCACCTTTTAAGTATGTCTTTCTTTGTCTGTCGAATGTCTTTTTTAATATTGACATCACGGCCATCATTAAAGGGATAGTTCACCAAAAAAAATGAAAATTCACTCTATATCCACTCACTTACATGCCAATGGAGAGGTGGGTGAAGTGCTCACGTCCACACAACACTTCTGTTGTCTCAGAGGTAAACAGCATTGCAGTCGAATCCAATACAATTGAAGTCAATGGTGACCTTTTCTTCAGATGTATTAAAACAACAGAAAAAAAAATGAACCAACCCTTCAAGTACTGCATTGAAAAATCTAAACTTTACAGAGTGAAATGGTTATATACTATATCACATGCATTCCATCACAGGACACAACCCCATGACTTTACGTAACCTGGCACCAAGCAGTAGGCAGCCCCTTGTAGAATTTCAAAATCTATCTTTTGTATTGTTTCTCTT